GGGGGGGGGGGGGGCCGTCGGCGTTTGCTCTTCTGATGATTAGGACGACTCGTAGCCGCGTCTGGGGAAGGGGGCCCAGGTGTTGCCCCCAACCCGCACATGGGCCCTGAGTCCCACAGACCTGGTTTGATGCTGGCTGTGCTAGAAGTGCCCTTGGGCACGAGAAGTCTCCTCTTGGGGCTTCGGGTTACTCATCTGTAAAGTGGGAAGAAAACATCATTTGTCCATCATTCGTTCGTTCATTCATTCAGCAATAACTCACTCCTTTGTGTCCAGCCTTGCGCTGGTTGGTGCTAGGGATACTGCGGTGACTGAGACAGCCTCTGACAGCCCAGAGTGGTCGGCGCTGGGGTCACAGAGTGCCAGACCCAGCCTGGAGGGATGGCAGGCTGGGGATAAGGGAGGTTTCCCAGAAGAGGGCCCGTGTGAACGAATACCCAAAGAACTAGGGGAAATGCACTGGGTGGGGATTTCTGTCTGGTTCATGGCTGGCTCCCCAGAGCCTGGCACAGTGCCCAGCACAGGGTCGGGCCCCAAGCTCAGTAAGTCTCGTGACCTAGCAAGGATGCTTGCGTGTGGCTGGGATGCGGCCCCTGCAGCCCCTGGTTCCACTCCCGGCTCCTTTTGCGGAGCAGCTCTGTGAGGTAAGGACGAAGAGGCCGCCATCCCCAGGCCAGAGGTAGGGCCATCAGTGGGCAGTGATCCAGGGGAACCGGTTTGGCAGCAGGAGCCGCCCAGTGGGAGGCGGGTGGGGACCCAGCAGCCAACCTGCCTCAACTGGCCTGGGCCTCCCGGCCAGCAGCAGGTGACCAGAGCGAGGGGTCCCCCAGGGGTCCAGTTTCCCTGCCTGCTCTGGGGTGGAACAGGCCTGGCCAGGGTGAGGGGCCCTCTGCCCCAGCCCGTTCTCTACCCTGCAAGCCAGGAGCCCCTTCAGCAGCGGTCCCGCATTCCAGCCCCCAGAACGCTGCCTATCCCGCCCGCCCAGGCCTCCATTCCTGGCCCACCTGTCAGAGGCCCTGACCTACCCTGTCCTCTCTCCAGGCTTCTCTGCCCTCGACTCTCTCCCAGTTCCAGCTCCTAGCCTCATCCCTACATGCTGACCTTCCCCCATCTTCCCCACTCCACTCCATCCCTCCAGATGTGTACACCATGTCCCACCACCTCCTCACTGCCTTCCCAGATTTGCCCCCGTTTGGCCCTGGGCCCAGCCTCACTCCTCACCTTGGCCTCTCTCACTCTGCCTGCCCATCCTCTGCCCCCCAGCCCAGGACCTTCGGGCCCCAAGTCAGCTCCAAGCCCTCTGCACGAATAGGGTTAGCCACAGGACCCCTCACTAAACCCAGGAGAGGGAGGGGCTCAGGATCCAGACGGGGTGGGCAGGAGGCAGCCTGGAAGACAGGGCAGCCAACCCAGAAGCCCTGCCGTAAACCCCCAAGCCACCTCTGCACACCGCCCCCAGCCCCGCCCCCAGCTGCCTGTGTGACCTGCAGGGGAAGGGGACAGAGGGGCACACCTCCGGATATTTGCCCGGGGCCAGCCCTTCCCTCTGGGCGCTGCATGGAGGGCAGGACAAACAGAGGAACCAACCGTGTTTATAATGATCAGGCGGGAGCCCCACCCTGGGGCAGCTCCAAGCACTGCCGGCTCCCCCGACCAGAAACCCCCCTTCCCACCAAGTCCCCAAGCTCCTGACTTTATGGGGGCCACGGAAGGGAGAGGAGCTGCTACATATAAAGGGGCCTGTGCCAGCAGCAGAGGAGGCGGGCAAAGAGTAGGCGCTGGGGTTCCCAGGCAAGCCCAGAATTTAGGGGTCAGACAGCCCAGGGCCAAGAGCCCAGCTCTCTGCCTGTGAAGTGTGGGTGAGCTGACCCACCGTGGGAGCTCACTGCGTGGCCCTGGGCTAGCAGCTCAGCTGCTCTGTGCCTCCGTCTCCTCTTCTGTTGAAAGAGGACCATGACAGTACCTGCTTCCTGGAGTTCTTAGAACCCAGGCACTGATGGCCTGGCCCCAAGGCCAAGCGCACACAGCAAGGAAGCGCGCGGTAAATGTCGCTCACTATCACAGCAGCAGCCAACACTTAGGGAGCACCTACCGTGCCAGCCCCTCTCCTAAGCACTTGACCCGGAGTCCCTCATTTAATCTGCACGCCCGACCCCAGACCAAGGGGCTGTTTTGGGCTTTGTGTTACAGACAAGGAAGGCAAGGCACAGAGAGGGCACCCCACTTGCCCAGGTCACACAGCTTGGTAAGCAGAGTGGACACAAGACTCCAACCCTGTCTAACAGAGCCCGGGCCCCGCCAGTTCTCAGAATTACGGCAGGTGCGTCCTTGGAGACTCGTGTGTGCCCGGGTCCGCTTGGTGTTCTGTGTCTAATCGCATTCCATCCTCACCGCTAACCTGTGAGACAGACACGCTCGTCATCCCCAGTTCACGGGTGGGGAGACTGAGGCTCAGAGGGGGAAAATCCTTTATCCAGGGCACCTAGAGTTTGAACCCAGGCAGTCGGGGACCGAAGTCCAGGCTCTTACCCACCTGTCCTGCGGTGGTGCTTCTGTTTTTGTCATTACCATCATGGTCCTGGCCTCCAACCCTTCCTCCCTCCTTCTCCACCCTCTCTATCCACACCCAGACCTTGCTCTTCCTCTCCTGTCCTGACCCCACCTGGGGGTGAGGGTCCCCAGCTCCTCCAACATGCCCAGGCCCCCAGCGGTAGTGTGGGAGGCAGCACAAAGTGGGGCTCCAACCACCGCCACCCCCCACCCAGGAATAAGGAATTACTCGCCTTTTCCACGGGCCTTTGGCCTGTCGGTCTGCAGCAGAAAAGCTGTCCAAGAACCAGTCCCCACCACCAAATGTGGTTTACTGAGGCTCAGCCCCAGTACTCACACCCCTACCACCACCACCATCACCACCACCATGGGGGGCCCATGACCCTGCGCAGATGCCAATGCTGAGCTCACCGACTCCCCGGCACTTAGGTGGAGTGGCTATTTCACTCCCATTTTGCAGATGTGGAAACTGAGGCTCACAAAGGTGAAATCTCTCGCTAAGGTCACCAAGCAGAGGTGGGCCTGGAAGACAGTCTGATCCACTACAGAGTCAACATCCTTAAACTCCTCCCCGTGGCCCACGAGGTCCTGAGAGATCTGCCCATCAGCTCTCCTCCCACACGGCCTCTCACTCACTCTGCCCCAGCCACTCTGGCCTCTTCACTGTTCTTCAAACGTCAGACATGCCCCCACCTCAGGGCCTTTGCACTGGCAGCTTACAACCCCCCCCCCACCCCACCCTGTGCTGGAACTCTCTTCTCAGTGATCTCCATAGGGCTCCCTCCCTCCTTCCCTCCACCCACATCTGCACACAAATGTCCCTGTTCCTGTCCTACCACCCTCTATGCCCCTTTCCTTGCGTTATTTTTCCTCATTGCGTTCACCATATACTGTGTGTGTATGTGTTTGCGTGTGTGAGCTTCTTTAGTGTCTGCTTCTTCCACCAGAATGTCAGCTCCACCAGGGCAGAGCCTGTCCTCTGTCTTGCTCCCCACTGTACCCCAATGCCTACAACACTGCGTGGCAGGCACTCAAGGAACACTTGGTGAACGAACACATTCGCCTGTACCCGCTATGCTACACCCCTGCTCAGACACCTCAGACTCTGCCCAGGCAGTACCTGTGAAACTCTGGCAGAGAAACCCCTGGAACTCAGAGGCAGAGGGTGAAGCAGTGACCCCAGCGACACGGAACAAAGGAGGACAGGGTGCAGCCTGCAGCCACCAGCCGGGGCATAGATGCCTCTGAAGCCCAGTGCTTGATCCCTCAAATGCAGGCACATTTCCATCCTACTCTAAAATGTTTATTTCAATTAAAAAAAAAAAGTCTTTTTATTTCACACGCGGGACGGGCAGTTTCCGACCTGTCCTAGCAAAAGCTTCACATTTTCCAGTCACCCCCTATGCTCACGTGTTCTACCATCAGACCTTTCATGAGACAAAAATGGCACCACTCTCCCCACCAAGGAAATCAGCGCACGTGGAAGAACCAGATCTGCTAGTGTGATAACACGGTCAAGGGAATGTGTGTGCGTGTGCACGTATGTGTGTGCGTGCGCGTGTAGAGAGCTCCTTCCCTCCTGCCCTCCACCTGCTCCAGCAGCCCTGAATAAAGCTGCCCCCCCATCACCCCGGCAGTGGAGGGAGCTGACTCAGCCAGGGCCCCAGGGCGCAGGGGCAGAGCAGAGGATGCGGCAGGGGCCACAGCTACCCCTTCCTAGTCACCAAAATGAAACTAAAGCAGGAAGGGGGCGATGAGGAAGGGGGCAATGAGGAAGGGCTCACTGGTCCCAGTCTGCGCTCATCGCTTCCACCGCTGGTTCCCACCCACCCTTCTGCCATGATCTCCACCCACCAGCTCCAGAAGCCCCCTCCCTGCCTCAGTTTACCGCCTACCTCCCTGGGCGGTGCTCTGATGATGGAGGGGGAGTCTTAACGTGGCAGCCCATGGCAGGCTCTCGCTGCCCCCCGAAACCCCACACCGTTCCTCCTTCACACCTTTGCTCAGCTCTTGCTGCCCACCTGCATTTCCCCCCGCAACCCCCCATTCTCCTCCTGCCCTGAGCCTAGTTCCACCAAGGAACCCTCTGGCACCTTGTCCCCAGACCCTGCCTCACGCTTTGGGACTGACACGTGCTCAAGCCCCCTCCTTGGCAAACAGCTACTCTACCCACAAATGATCCATCACACGCAGCCCCCCACCCCTCTATCCAATCATCGATGTCTACCGAGGACCGATCTCTGCCAGGCCCGGGGCAGGGGCGCCAGGAGCGTCAGGAATATCCCTGCCCTTGCAGAGCTCACAGCCTAGGGGAAAGGAGGCAGTCAATAAATGAGATAAATCAGAAAAATAGCTAGTAAGTCAGGTGGTAAGTGCTGACGAGAAAAATACAGCAGGGATCAGGAGGGTGTGGAGGGTGAGGGGAGGTGGGAATTTTCAGTGAAGTGGTCAGGGAGGGCCTTGCTGAGGAGGTGACGCTTGAGCAGGGACCCGAGTGGAGAGAGGAGAGGGAGCCCTGTGGGTAGCTGGAGGAGGAGCACCCAGGCAGTGGGAACGGCCAGTGCAAATGTCCTGAGGCAGGAACATGCTTGATGTGGCCAAAGAGCAGAGAGGAGGCCGAGTGGCTGGGGCCCGGTGAGTGAGGTGAGAGAGAAGGGCAGATTGTGTAGGCACTTGTGGGCCGTGGGTAGGACTCTGGCTTTTTGTAAATTTTTTTATGTGGACCGTTTTTAAAGTCTTTATTGAATTTGTTACAATATTCCTTCTGTTTTACGTTTTGGTTTTTTGGCTGTGAGCCATGTGAGATCTTAGCTCCCCGACCAGGGATCAACCAGGGATCAAACCCACACCCTCTGCATTGGAAGGCAAAGTCTTAACCACTGGATCACCATGGAAATCCCCAGGACTCTGGCTTTTACCTGAGTGAGACGGAGCAACAGGAAGGTTCTGAGCAGGGGAGGGATGTGGCCAGACTCAGGTGTTCACAGGCTCCCGGTGGCTGTGTGGGGGGGGCAGGGCAGGAGCAGGGACACCTGGGAGGAGGAGGATGCGACAGTCCAGCAGGAGAAGAGGGTGGACGGGACCACGTGGAGCCTGTGGAGGCGGAAGGAATAGGCAGGTTCTGGGCACCCTGTAGAGGTTGAGACGGCAGGATTGCTGAGGACTGACACCACCTTTTGCAACAGCTGGAGCGTGAGCTCCACACGGGGGCAGGGGCTTGGTCTGGTTTTGCCCGTTGCCGCATCCCCCAGAGCCTGGCATCCTGGCATCCAGTCCATTCTCTCCCAGCCCTTAGCATCACCTAACATGTTATATGGTTATGATTGTGTCTGCTGTCTCCCTGCTAAGTCGGTGGCTCGGCGCAGGCAGGAACAATGCTCTGGTTGGTTACAGGCTGGATCCCAGGTCTCCCCTCAGTGGCTGCTGGGTGGATGGAGGGGACACACGTGTTTCAGCACTGACTCTGGCCTATGCCTGCACCAGGCATGCAGACCAGGCCACAGTGAACCCTCCCGGTGGTTCTTGGGTGTGTGGGTGGAGAGTCCTCTTCCCTCCTGTTTCCCAAACTAGGAAACTGAGGCCCAGAGAGGGGAAGTCACTGCCCAGGGCTGCCCAGCGCCAGGGCACAAAAGCGTCGACTCTGACCCATGGAGAAGGCCTGTCACTGCCCCCTTAAGCCTCCTGCTTCCCAGCAGCCCTGGCTCCAGCCAAAGCTTCTACTCCAGACAAAGGACCTCAGAGGTTTACGGGACAGGAACATGAACAGAGACAACTCTACTTCCGATGACCAAAGAAAGGCTGCTGTGGTTATCAGGGAATCTGAAGAAATGTTAAACAAAACTCTGCAGGGCTTCCCACCTGGATAAAACTCCCCACTGTGACTTAGCAAGGCCCTGCCCAGTTGGGCCCTGCCACCAAGGGACCCCATCTCCTCCCTGCACTTCACCCCAGCCACGCTGGTCTCCTCCTTTTCAGTCTTGGACACATCAAGCTTGTTCCAGCCTCAGGGCCTTTGCACCCACTGTTCCCTCTGCCCAGAGCTGCATGGCTCCCCTTTCTTGATCTTCAGGTCTCAGTGCAAAGAAAACCTCCTCTGGGAGGCCTTCCCTGACCCCCTGACAAAATTTGCACCCCTGCTTTATACTTCTCCGTGGCATTTATTATCATCTGGCATTATATACCTGTTGACTGTTGGTCCCCCCCTCCTTCCCCACCCCCCAGCAGAGTATGGGCTCCCCAGGAACAGGGGCCTTTGTCTGTCTCATTCTTGTCGTACCCCTGGCAGCTAGAGCAGGGCCTGGCACACAGCAGGTACCTGGTAAATATCTGTGCAACGAATGAGTGATGCCATTGCCAAAGTGATGAGGCTGGGCCCTGAGGAGGCGCAGGGAAGGGTGGTGGGGCAGAAGGCAGCCAGGAGTCCCCAAGGCCTGTCCACGCTGCCTGGAAATGTGACCTTGATGCCTGTGAAGGAACTGAGCCTCTTTAGAGACTGAATCTAGCTACTTAGTGAATAACCTGGTGTGTGTTCCAAACACAAGGAGCGCCCGGCTGTGAGCCCGCTTCCCCAGGCCCTCCCCACCACACGGCCTAGGCTGGGAACTGGAGGAAGTGGTGGTACATTTTGGCCAGAAGCAAGAAGAACATCATACAGGGGGTGTGCCGCCAGAGATCTGCGCTCCCCACGATGGGTGAAAGCCCATAAAAAGACACAGATCGAGGGCCACCCGAGCCTTGGGGAGCAGGGCCTGGAGTCGGCCATGTGGGAAGTGACGAGCAGCCTGCTCTCCGTGTTCTGGCCACGTAAGCGCCATCCTCCCCTCAGCAGGCCTCTGCACTGAGTGCCGGACAAGGACTCGGAAGGCAGCCGATGAGTAAGAGCGGACGGCCCAGGCTCGTGCCCGCTCCACCACTGCCAAGCTGTGTGCCCGCGAGCAAGTGACTCTGGGCCTCCGTGTCCTCACCTGCAAACTGGGGGTAACGATGGTCCCTATCTCCTGGGAGTGTTTGGACGAGCAAACCAGATGACCCATGCAAAGCGCTCAGAACAGCGCCTGCCGCCGAGTGGGCCCTCACTGCTACAGCCTAGCTGCTGTTATCATTACTGGCACTGCTGCTGTTGTTGCTGCTGAACGAATAAAGGAAGGAACAAATAAAGCACAGAGGATGCTGAGCATGGTTTCCCAGAGCAAATGCGCCAGTCTGACTATCTCTGTTTAAGACTGTCCTTCTCCAGGGCTGGGATGGGGGAGCATAATGGACCCCCATTATGCTCTGATGACCCCTGCCCTCCCAAAGGACAGGGCCTGGGGCCCTCTCAGCCACCCTGTGTCCCCGGCCCTGCCCAGCACAGGGCGAGGCACAGCTCAGAGAATGTGGCTGAATGCAGAGATGGTGCTTCCTTTACCCCGAGGTGCTCTAAGCCCCCAGGGAGGCCAGGCGGCTCCTGTGGCAGCCCCAGGCTCGGGGGCCCCCTCCCCGCCTGGCCAGGCTCAATAGAGCACAGACACAAAGGGCACTGCTGGTGTCCCTCACCCCCCAGAGGTGCCCAGGGTGGGGATGGATGCCACAACAAACCTGAGAGTGTGGGCGAGCCCCCAGGGACTGGGGAAATCAGATTCGACTTCATTCATTCCTCCCCTGAGGTGGGGCAGGAAGGAGGGAGGGGGCAACAGGTAGAAAAGAGGCTCCAGTGGCCTCCCAGGCCCCTCCAACCTAAGTCCTTCCCCGCCATACACATACACACACACACACACACACACACACACGCATGCACCCAAGACACAGAAGCAAATGAAGTCGCTCCACAGTGCACAGCTATCCTCAGAGACTGACACAGACATGCAACACAGACGTCCAGCCACACAACCACAGAAACATGAGAACACACACACTGGTTGCACGGAAAAGTCCCCAAGCAGCCCGAGACGGAGCAGCCGCTTGCCCCACACTACCCAGGTACCCTGCTGGTGGCTGTACAGGGGCCTGGGCGCAGGAGGGAACATCCCACCCCGAGCCTCAGCAAGTGGGCCGGAGGCAGCTGTGAGGTGTCAATGGGAGAAGGTGGGGAAAGCAGTCTTAAGAGGGGCCTGGCTCAGAGGAAGTTCTCAGAACGAAAGGGCCGCAACACTGGGGACCCACGGCTGGGACCCCAAGAAGTCAAGGACCTGGGAGCCCCGCCACAAACAACGTAAAGACCCGTTCACCCCTGAGATGGAGGGACTCTGGAGAGACCCAGAGACACATACAAGGATCCTGGGGGAGCCAAATAACATAACGATACGGACTTTAGCCACCACCTAAAAACACAGCCACGTGCTTACACACACATAATCCCACAAATGCTCCGTTATGGCTGGACTCACTAGGAAGGCAGACCCCAAGACCCTCCACACACCTAGGAGCGCTCCTGAGACAGAGTTGAACCATGAGATCCGCACACAGACCCAGGCATGCCCACAGCCAGCTCCAGGGTCACCAGTGGCCCAGGGAGGCACAACCCCTTGGAAACACCTCCATGCAGACCAGACCCCAGGAATGCGCTCCCACAGAGATGCTCAGGGGGACCCGCGCCAAGGTGTGGGCTAAGCCCCAGCAGATAGACACCTGCCACCGCCCACACGGGCACACACATGGCCACCCCGCCCCTGGCCCCAAGACAGGTGTGGCCCCTGGCGCACGTGCTTACGCTGGCTCAGGTGGCCGTGTGGCCGGACTGCCCTCCCGCACACCCAGGCAGCCCTCCCCCTCCTCCACTCCTCTCCAAGGCCTGGGCCAGCTCACCTCCACCATCCTCTTCCCTCTGTCCTGGGCCACCCGCAGTGGGGCAGGCCGGCAGACAGAGGCTTCCAGCTGAAAGATCAGGGAGCTGGGATCAAGGGGTTCCCCTGCCCACGGAGGTGAGCTGGCTGGGCTCTGCGCCCTGGCCTCCCTGGCAGCGGCTGGTGACGCGGCCCTGCCCTGGCAGGAGTTGAGCTTGGCTGTGGCTCCAGCCCATGGGAGGGGGAGGGGAAGGGTGGAGGGTGAAGGGAGGGCCGGAGGGAGGCGGGGCTGAGCCTGGAAAGCCTGAGCCATGGGGCCCACAACTGTCCCAGCGGAGGGAGGGCCTGGGCAGGGACACAGGAACAGGGGACCCAACCACAGCCCCTGCTTCGGCAGGGTCAGTCTCCCACCACACACGCACACCCCCATCTCACTCCCTATGCCAGGCCAGGTGCCAGGGGCCAGGGAAACAGTGGCTCAGCTTGGGGCTGAGTGCCCGAGAGTGGCTGGCGGGGCAGCCAGGTGTGAAACACTGGCTGGGGCTGTGGTGCAGGACACAGAGACGGGGGATGAGTGGCCTCTTTGACGGGAGGGTGGCTGGAGATCCGGGGCTTGCTGTGTCCCCCTCTCCCTGCACACCCAGGCTGCGATGCCAGCAAGAGCCCCAGAGGGTGCAACGAAGGGGGCCCCTGCTGCTCTGCCCCACTCACCCATCGGGATGAACCCGAGACTTGCGGCCTCACCAGGGGAGATCACGGTAAACAGCCGCCACCCCCATGCCACGGAAATACCTAGGCGTGAGAGTGGGGCTGGATGGCGGGAATGTGGAGAGGGAAAGGTGGGGACGGCTGGGGCTCCTGTGTCGCTATGCTGGCTGTCTTGCCAGGATGTAAGTAACCTTTCTGAAAATAAGTGGCCCAACTTTCCAGAGAACTTCCTCTGGGCCAGGTCCTGCTCTCAGCATCGACACACATTAAGTCATTTTAGCTCACCACTGCCCTAAATGGGCAGGTACTTTATCAGGCCCATTTTACAACAGATGAACCTGAAGCCTGGAGAGGCTGAGTGACGTGCCCAAGTGGGCCGTCTGTCCCAGCGCCTGTGTCCTAGACCAGCCACTCTGAGCAGGAGGCTAGGGGGCCCAGAATCCCTATCGCAGAACAGGAGAAAAGGACGCTCAGAGAAAGGGAATCTAGAAGGGGTAGTGCAGGCCCACCCCACCTCTGCCTCACACCTTCTCCCCACTTCAGATCTCACTTTCTCTGAGAAGCCTTCCTTGGCCCGGGGCACAGCTCCTGGCACGAAATCTGTTTCTTTCTGTCTCCCCTGTG